ATCTTTCATTTGTTGGATTTCTTTCACAAGTTGTTCAATTTTCTTATTCAGTGTACTGTTCTCTTTTTCAAGAAGCGCAGACTTCTTTTGAGCTTTTGCTAAATCTTCTCTTGATTCCTAGAAAAGAACAGGGTATTAATTTTTAGAAGAACATTATTTTGAGTTATTTTGGCCAAGTACAAAATTACCTTTTAATTGAAGAAAACCTGAAAATGAAAGTTTATCAACTTGAAGATAGAAAAACACCAAAGAGATAATAATAAACCATAGAGGAATAAGCATGGTTATGGGTGGACAAGATCAAAACGGATTACAACTTACAACTAACTTGAAAAATTTGGACTTAAATTTTTGAGATGTGTAGCATATCATACATTATACTTTTGTCACATCCTGTGACATCATAACCTTTGCGCACCAAAACGTAAAGGCAGCGTGCCTTGTGTGTAATGTTGGCAGTGTTATAGCTCTTTTGATAACACTCGCTCTTCATTCTTTTGTTTACATAGTTCACTTCAGAATCGGAATAGAGATATGTAATGACATTGTAATTCAGTTGTCGTCCCCTTATAGGCTTTGTTTATGATTTGCATGCAAGGAAAGTAGTTTATAGTTTCACGGACGATCAATTCCTATTGTTACACGACTTTCAACAAGTTATTCTTTGTCTATTCAGATCAGATTTAGTTTGCAATGTAGTACAGTGATTATATTTGCCATTCAGTTTTTCATATTGGATCAATAAACATTGTGATTTAACACGACTGGTTGTCCAGTTCAGTTGGAAAACCTATCATCATGATACTGTAAGATGCGCAAACTGTGACATTTGCGATGTTTATATGTTGTGTACAGCGTACATGTAACTCATACATGCAGCTTTTTAGATGCCATTCACTGTAATACCAGAAACTTGCTAAATTTACACAAGTCATGTCAAGTATGTGAATTTACAATGAAAATTGCATTATTCACGCCATCATCTAGAGATGAAAAACACTTTAAAAAGCTTATTCACTTGGTTTCAGCCTCCTCCTTAGCCGTGTAACTTGCTATTTTGCTGCGATTGAATGAGAAGTAAAAGAAAT